GCTTCTAGCTAATTACTAGTAGCGATTCCCTTGTTCCTAGTAGCTATTCACCTTGCTAGTAGCTTCTTGTTACTAGTAGCAAATTAGCTACTACTAGCCATGCCCTTGTTCATAGTAGCGATGCACTTGTTACTAGTAGCTGTCCTTTTGTAAGGGAAACGGGTGTCGTGTGTTCCACATTATTATCAATTTGTCCAATGTCATTGGGGGATGTTTACAGCGGATCTTGTCGTGAGCAAGGTAGCATCTCAAAGTGATAGACGGCAGCATGCATTTCAGCTGTGAGCCGAGACATTGTCTGAGATATATAGAGGTGTAATTAGGAGAGCATGGTCAGCAGCTTGTTGATCCAAGAAGGCTGGTTTCAGACTACCACGCCCACCCTTCTAGCTGGAACTCCAAGCAAAAGCTCTGAACGGGCTCCCATTGGATGAAATTCAGCCCGCATGCGAAACTGGCCGAACTTCGTTCCCCTAACAACTGGTCAGTGCCCCATTTCTTCCTGTCAATGTTCCTGCAATTTCTTGATTTTGGGGAGTTGTCCTCTATCCAGAACAGGCTACCCCATCTCCCGTACCTAGAACTACAGTATATGTTGACACATCGATCATTTGGTACCGGGAGGTCTTATGAAAAGCTCTTGCTGCATGACTGGCCGGGAGATGAAGCTTTAGCGAGGGTCTCAGATGTTGGTGACGGCTTGTTGGCGAACACTTCCACCAGAAAAGGTTTGCTCCTCCGTCAGATCCGAAACTTGTTCCGAATTGCTTCTTGTTACTACTAGTAAGGCACTTGTTCCCAGTAGCGTGGCACTCGTTTCTAATAGCTTCTTGTTACTAGTAGCTTACGAGTGTCAGAGCTTACGATGCCCTTGTTTTTGCATAGATGTAAGTTGAAACTAGACATGAAATCCCTGGCAAGTGCCAGTCTTGTTGTGAATTGATGAACAGGTGCTCTTCGCAAGACACGTGTAAACGTGCAAGCTAGGATTTGCACCGACACGCGGCTTCTCCAAGGCCTCATTGTAGAAAGAGGATGTGTTTCATGTGGTTGACCGCTGCGAATCACATGTTAAAATCAACATCCTTTTGGTTCATGATTTGACCAACCTGGCAGAATTGTGGGTGATCCCAAAAGGCTCGGAAAAAGGTAGAACGGTGCCAAAGCATGCAGGTGAAGAGCAACCGGACCACGTTTCGCCAGCTGTTGAAAGTCACGGAGGGGAATTGGCACCTGGTTCTGGAGCCCCACTTTCGACGCGTTCCGCGGATTGATTTGCTCTCGTTTGCGAGAGCACTTGAAACTATGTCCAGGCTGGAAGGAAACTCTTGGGCGTGCAGCCTGAACTTTGCAAGTTAGAGTGGATTCACAATTCTTACTTGTAGCTAGAAGCTACTAATTAGTAACATGTCCATCGCTACTAGTAGCAAGGGCATTAGTACTAGTAACAAGAAGCCACTAGTAGCGATGCGCTTGTTACTAGTAGCTTCTAGCTACTACTGTTAGGGGGCCTTTGAGGTCTTGCGGGGTCTTAATTCCTGAGGTTCTCTTTAATCCTGCACTTTAATCATTTATTCAGCGTCGTGTGCGGTGATTCATCAGCTACATGTGACGTTCTAAACAGGAGGACCGCCAGTGGTCAAAGGCAGCTTCCTTCCTGCGACTGCCTTCCACCAAGGCACGAAAGGGCCAGGGGGAGTTCTGGAAAGATCAGATCAGAGTGTAAGATCATGTAAGATCCATGATGATGAAAGAAAGCTTGGTTGAAACATCTTAAAGCATCTTAAAGCTTCATTTCAGCCAGACAAGATCTGACAAGACACCATCGGCACTCGGGACGTCCTTCCCAACTTCATAGAAATTCGACATCCTTTAGCTTTGGTCGGAGACATGGAAGCAGTGAAAAGATGTGAAAAGGTCAGTGCAGTTCCGTAGATGGGCTTCTGGCTTTACAGGAATGTACAGTCCTTCCACTTCCGGAGTAGATCATTAGGCTGATACACATGTTGATACACATTCCTTGTGTATCATGATTTGACCCCGAAGCTTTTGTGACATGGCGTGGGAACCCCGGGTCGAAGCCGAATGCAGGAGATCCATTTACCAGCTTCATACAGAGGTTACCTGAGGCTCGACGTGGCTCGACGACTGTCCGGATGTGGAATGATGTGGGTTGGATGAGGTTTTGAAGTGAAGCTTCTATGGTCATAGAGAAGGCTTGGAAGCGAGAGGAACCAACACACGACACACAATTGCAACTGCATTAGTCAAAACTACCAGTAGAAACACCTGATGAAGTAGGGCTGCAACCCTTTTGCAAGACACAATGATGCACACTTGAAGCTTACATCAATTGAGCCCTTATGATTTGGACTCCGTTCAATTTCTTGGAGTCCTTCACAATGGCAACTGAGTCAACTGGAAGGCTCTTGGCAGTCACCAAAAGACTGACTTTGTGGCCTCTCCCCGGAGACTTAGTCACCCTGGCGACAGGGTTTGGAGTCCAAGCCATTTTCACCAGGCTCCGTTGGAGAAACGCCGTGCTGCACTTGCTGCTGTCCAACTCGCCCCTTTTGCAGCTCGACCGCAGGGCGGAAAATCTGGTGAGAACGGCGTATTGGGGAACCAAAGCTTGATTGGATTCAAGAGAGTTGAAGAGTGTCTTGTTCGGGAAATCATGGGCATATTCATACAACCGTCTGAAGTAAGTAGGCATTTGTTCCTCTACAAATGCCAAACGTTCAACGCTCCAAACAAGTTGAACATGTTAAACATGTTAAACAAATTGGTTGGCACCATCAGAACTCGCATGTGTTTAGCATAGAATGACAATGGAATAGCCTGTGGCGTACAGCATGCCCAACCTGAGGGCATCGGCCGAGATTCCCACCGCAGCGCCCAAGAAGGTACAGGCGGCTCGTCATGGCTGAGGGTCGGTGGGATGATCAGAGGAAACCTGCAGCCTCCAACCTAAAAGCAATGGCCTCCAAGTCCAAACTGGCGAGTCGCTCAGCGCAGCCTTTCATCCCCAGGACTTCCAAGTCGCAGCTCCGGTGCTCCGAGCACCGGTGGTGTCCGTGGTGGCAACTTGGTCACGATGCCGATGGGTTGGAACGTGGGGACGCTTCATTTGGAGCCTGAGTCCCTGTAGTAGAAGGGCTTTGAACAGAGGCAACTGGTGAAACCTCATTTGGTTTGTTGCGGCGACAGGGTTCTTCTCGTGTCTTGCCTCAATTTGGCCTCGGTGGCTATGCATGGCGGCTTCCTTGGAGAAGAGATATAATTTGGCACCCAACGCCGTCCAAAAGAAGCTTGCAGCTGCTCTACTCTAGTGACTCTAGTCGATGCTGGTTGATCTGGCTCATATCCGATAAACAGCACATTGCGTCACCAGTGGCACGACTTGGGTCTTGCAGTGACTTTGCCGTCACTGTTGACTTTGGATAGCGGAGAACATACCGATCCGAGCGCTTCAGGGGGCCAAAGCCGCTGAAGCTCATGTTCTTACCTCTCCCACTCCCCTTACGACTTCGCAAGACATTGCAAGACGTAGAATGTCACAGCTGTAGCGAGCTGTCACAGCCGTAGAGAGAGAGAGAGTGCTGTAGCGTTCTCAGGTTGGACACTTGGGCCAAAGCTGCGACGTGACCTGTGCGCGTGAAGTGGGCGCTTTCAGGCAGCAAGTGGTGACCCGGGCTGCTGGACAAAACAGCGAAAAGCACGGTTTCTAATAGAAAAAAGATGCATTGTCTTGCATCAGCTGAGTTATTGAAAGATAGCCAAAGCATCAAGTATCATCAAGTGATAGCGATCGTTTGATTCAGATGTGGAGATGTGACAGGTGTCATGATGCAGACTTGTTGTTCCTGAACGCCGGGCACTCTAGACGCTAGTGTTCTGCGAGGGATGCCGATTCAAAGATCCATTTGAGCATGCATTAATCCCTGCAAACTATTTATGCGATCCTATGCGCTGACAATATGATATTTCGATATATGAACTATTGCATAATTTGTTCAAACATGGTCACAACTAAAGACTCGACTCATACCACTCATACCAAATGAAAGCTCGCATGGTATTTATTCCCTTTTTGTTTGGGGGCTTTAGTCGATCCGACAGAAGTCTTTGGGACATGCACTTATAGAGCAGATCCATACTGAGAACTTAATGTTTCGTTCGTCCTATTTTGCTGAGGACAGCCATTGTATACCCTTCGCTATTAGGTGCCTCCAACCTAATAGCAATGGCCTCTGGAGTCTGGAGTCAATAAAGTGCATTAGGTCTTCGTTCCTAGAATCTCCCTGCACTGAATTACTTCTTTCTTAATTACCATCTCATTGGGTACTCTCGGATTTGCAGCGTGACAAACCTCAAGTGAAGGAATATTTTGGCAGTTTTTTGCCGAGGGTTAAAGACTTAGACCTTTCTGAAGTCTCGAATCTTGGAATCTCCCACCTTTGCCAAGGGCTGTTCATCGATGCGGCAAATTCTGGGGCCAGATGCTTGTGGCGAGTGTTTGGCATCAGATGGTCAGGAGATCGTGACCACGAATTTGGACCATGCCTGAAAGTCCAACCTCACCCTGTGAGCCTTAACCTCCCGGTGTTGGAAGCGGAACTTGCTTTTTCGACTCCTTGGACATCCTTAGACTATCAGGCTTGTGTAGGCTTGTAACCAATGACATATGCACATAAGTCACACAAGTAATCATCGGATTCAGTCAGTGTTCATGCCAATCTGCTAGGCACACACGGCGCACACGCCAGGACTATCCCGCAGTGGTGCTTGTGGATGCGCAGTTGTCGGCCGAAGTGGGGTTCCTGACGGAATCATCCGTTGCCGCTTTCATTTGGTGAGTTGAGAAAGTCGTTCCAGCACAGCTGGAGCCATTCATGGTGCATTCTGCAACTTCACAGCCCGCAATTGTTTCAACAACTGAAAGAACGAAAGAACTGGTGTTGTGAAAGAATCATCAGAATCATGGCCATCGCTAGTAATTAGGTTGGAGCCATCGCTAGTAGGTTGGAATCCCCAGCGTTGTGAAAGAATCATATATTACCCGCCAGCCCATCGGCCCGTCCGAAAACGGGCTCCATGAGGATGATCGCCGAACGGCGACCATGCCCAACACACTGTCAGCGCCTAGCAATGCCACATGACTCTCAAGCACTCCCCCTTTCATCAACCGTCCTGTGTCACCCCTGAGGTGCCAGAGTTTGAACTGAACTTCAAAGGTAAGTTCAACTTTGCTGCTCGGACGTTGAACGTGGGGACCATTGATTGGCAGGAAGCAGTTGGAGAGAGCTATATAGGTAAACCATGAGGGTGTTGTGAGAAAGATGTTGCATCGGGCAGGTGTCTTTTTATGAAAGGTGTTGTCGAATTTCTCCAAGGTTTTGAGGAGTCGGTGGGGTATTGAAAAACATGTTTGAGAAGGGTTGATTTGCCACTTCTGGACTCATGAATGCATGGCCTTCGAGGAAACAAATATCATGTGGGTATGTTGTTGGTTTTGCTTGGATGAAAGGCCAGCAGTCTGTGACAGTTGAAGTTGTGTTTGACCCCAGCTGGTTACAGAACACTGACTGAATGAACGTTGAGTAGAATTTTGGACAGTGGCCTTGACACTTATTTCCTTCAGAGGAACGCCGAGTTGTTTGTACTTCACCGCCTGATTAAGCAACGATAACGGCATGGGCACGCCTCACATAGCTAGACTCATAGATTAAATGAGTTCGTCAAGACAGCCCTTGGCTGAGATTCCGTTTGCACTTGCAGACACTGTGTCACACTGCTACGGCCCCTGCACCCAGCTCAACCGAGGAGGAACACAGCCCCTCCTTGGGGAGTTGCCTTTTTGCAGCCAACCTCGCTCAACCGTCAGGGCACTCGGACTCTTTGTGACATGCAGCAACATAAGATCCAGAATGAAGGCATATATGAAGGTCAAGCAGTGTCAAGCAGGGTTATCACCTTTTCGTTTGCACGGGTGTTCTTCAAAACCAATTTCCGCTGCCTCACAAGGCATCGAGCGCTTGTGCCTCCTCTCTTTCGCTTCCTCTCAGGCCCAGATGCCATGCTTCACACCAGCGATTGGTCGGCAGCCTACAGACCCAATGAGGTCATGTTTTTGGTGTCACGCCCTTCACCGCCGTACGTTTTGGAGCAATTGGTTTCCGGAAGGCCACCGGGGCGAAAATGAGCATTTGAATTTCATGCTAGCGGGTTGACAACTAGTTGTGCATGTTATATCAAACCACCAACAGTTTGTTCAATGTCATCGCACTTGGCATTAAAGATAGCACCTTTACATTTTCGCATGTTGCTGTGTTGAATCAGGACAGACAAGCTGCTTTCGTTCTGGCAGTTCCTTTTTGTGTGTGTTTGGATTGAATTCCCCTGCATTTCGGAATGTTTGCACTCGCCGGTAAAAGTGTGTTGGATATACTTGGAAGATGATGCCACATGCACAGATGCTTTGGAAGATGAGGGTTCGGGGGTGGGGTTGGGTGGCGGGGTAATTACGTTTGGTTGGATGTGCTTGGAAGATGATACCACATGCGCTCACGCGCCGCTCTGGAAAAAAAGTTGCTTCCTCTCTTTAGACTTAAAACATCTTAAAACTCATGGTTGTCCTTGGCCTCTTAACCTTTTTCAAGGCCAAGTAAAACACTATGTTTATCAATAAAACATGTCCCAAACACACGGCAGTGTGGGGGCGTGTTATCTTGTGTTTGTCAATTGTTGGGTTCAGTCCGTTCCTTTATGCTACCGTAACTGTTTTTTCCTACCAGCGGTTGTTTACTTGTCAGTAATCAGTGTTCTTGTGAGGCAAAGCTTCTTTGCACAGTGTGACATGTGGCACAACCTGAAACATCCTGAAACAAGTGATGGATGGTCATAAGGTTCCAAAACACCTCTGCTGAAACTACGGTTGTGTCCATGCATTAGGCTATCAACCCAATTTTTAAACCCTTTCCTTCTGAAGACTTACGCAGCGCCGAGCATACCTCCAGGCGCGACTGTGCCCTTGTCGAGCAACGCCCAATGCTGGAGACCTGAAATGGCTTTGCAGTGTTCGCGAACGGAGGGATGCTACGGAGCCGGAAGTAAACAGAATCAGATGACGGGTTTTGCAGTGTTGGCGGAATGTCTTGCAATATCTTGCAATCTTTGTTGCTGTTTTGTTGCATATTAGCCGCCTCCGCAGGCCCGAGTTCGAAAGAACCAGAAGGTCTGATGCAAAGAATCTGGATCGAGTTCACCCACCTGAAAGAATGCAGTGATATTGATACAGCATCCTCAACCATCTGAGCTGAACCGGATGTATGATTGACCATGCCTTTGTGCCTAAGACACATGGAACCCATATCAAGAAGCTGGGCTGCCAGCACACAACGTGATGTCAAAGCACAACATCAGAAGGAGCTGAGGCCTTCCTTGTTGATAGAAAACCCAATCAGATAGCAACTACAACTCTCAGACAGTTTCCTCAAGATTTCGATGTTTTCGCGAACCGCAGATTTCTTCACTGGGCGGTTTGGGTTGTCACTGGAGATAAAGATTAACACAAGGAAGAGATGACAAGCAAAGGTTCTCCAGCAAGATCAAGAGACTTCAAGAGACCCATAGAGAGCCTTCCCACCGTATGATGTTCAGGTTGCGAAGTCTGGTGGTCCACCTGCTCATCCACCGAGCGACCGGGCCATCTACAGGCGAAGATACAAAGGGCCCATCAGGTTGTTCACCGTCCTGTAAGACATGTTGTACAATTTTGAGCACAACAAGAAGCTAGTAGAAGCAAGTGCCACGCTACTAGAAACCAGTGCCTTACTACTAGGAACAAGAAGCTAGTAGAAACAAGTGCCATTACTACAATAAAATTGTAGTGGTTCCTCTATGTGCTATTGCCTTTGTAGGATAGTACTAAGTGGAACCAAGTACAACAAAGGGCCTTTTCTTTTAGGCTCAAGTGACCCGGTGAACCACAAGGTGATTTGCAGGGCACAGCCAACTCAAAGGTGGAGAAACTCGTGAATTCCTTGCATTTTGACTTTTTTTGATACTCAATCTCTTGTCTTTGGACTTAGGACCTCCGAGTTCTTAGGAACAGTGAAGCCAAAAACCTGAATCCAATCATCGATTCCACCTCTGCCGAATGGCCAGTTGTTCTTCTCCCAGACATTGATCATTGCCAATCCGGTTCTATCCTTTTCCCCTCACAACTGAACATTGCTTGACTGACACATGCGTGAAGAACCATGGACAACAATTCGCTGGGGCGCGTCCACCCAAAAAAAAGCAGAACACACATGACATTTGTATACACACATTATCACATTGCTTTGTTGAGTCATGTTGAATTTAAAATGTCCTTGCCCGACCAACATGACTGACCAACCAAATGATGCTGCCAGGGATTTGCTGCCTTTAGGCAGGGAAGCTCGGGCAGGTGGTTCATTCGGGAAATCAAGTGGAACAGCAAATAGTAGGTTTGCTGTACTGTGATCGGTGCTCCATTTGCCAGTGGTTTTAAGAAGTTTCAAAGGCGCATTTAAGTTGGTTGATTTTGATCGCCTACAGTTTGTATCACATTAGACCATGGAGAGCCTCCAATGATGGGAAAGTCTCGGACAACCGAAAAGGGTACATGCTGAGCTGGCCATCCTCTAAACTCTAAGCAATGTTCAGGTTTGATTCCTTTAGCACTTATTAGATCTTCTTACTATTCGGAGCTAACTAGTAGTTTTTTTTTACTACTAAAGTACTGATTAGTATATTTATGTATACTATTTACATCTATATACCTGTACTACCAGTTACTTACTTTCCGGGTGCCCTGAGGCTTGGTGGATGTCACCTTGCCGTCGCAGCGCTGCGGAGCCAGCTTCGGGAATCGCCTGGCCGCGGACTGCGCTGTGTGGATCCGAGCGAATTGGGATCACCAATCATTCTAATTAAACTTAATTCTAATAGCTTCTTGTTACTACTAGTAAGGCACTTGTTACTAGAAGCGATGCACTTGTTACTAGTAGCTTCTTGTTCCTAGTAGCAATAGCCTCCAACCTACTAGCGATGGCCTCCAACCTAGAAGCAATCACTATCCTGTTTTTTTTCTCGAAGTAGGATGCATGATGATGCGTGCATTTTTTGCTTTGAATGGTGTTTGACCTATAACACTTGTATGACTTGGCAAGCCCGCTGGCAGCTCAAAAGGTACTGTAGGGTTTTTTATGGGCGCAAGGCTTTGGCATGCCTTGCAGCTGCCCTGGCGCATTGATAGAAAGACCGTTTCCAGCCGCTCAGTGCTGTATTTTTGAAGGAAACGCTAGGTGCTGCCAGGCCCTTATGTGTGAATCTTGCTTCGGGCCTACACATATTAATGTCGCACTCAACTGAACCACACTTTCCCACCTACTTTGCAACGCAGACTCTCAATGCGCAACTTCCCGGCAGTTTCGTTCCCAGCCACTTGCACCGAGGCTGCAAGCTTCTTTTGTTGCTCAGGAGCCATGTGGTCGGGGAGCCACAAAGCACCTTCCTACTAGAAGCTTCTTGTTCCTAGTAGTAAGGCCGGGAGCCCCTAGTAGCTTCTTGTTCCGCAATACCTTTTTGTTTTCTTCAGGCTTGTTCGTGTTTCTTTGGACACAGTACGGCAATGCTTTCATGTGTCTTGTCTTGACATGTAGATGTCCACCTGTAATTATTTCATATTGCCGTTTTGCTCGCGTTAACACTTGGTATAAATATATGGTCCCCCAAAAAAACACCCAAATTCTTGGTTCATTGATATTTACAGTAAAAATTGCATATTTTGGGCACCATTTTTTTAGTAAACAATAAAGGCTTTGTGACATTAAATCCTGACAGTTTTGGAAATTATGGAAACTGTTGTTTTCAAAAACTTCCAAACCATCAGGACTATGGAGACCTTCCCTGTGGTGTGTAAAGCTTTGGATTTATTAGATGTCCATTGGATTCAATTGTAATTACTAATTACTGTTCCACAAGCTGTTTCTCATCAACCTGTGTCATCTCTTCGCTTTTCCTCACCTTTGTGGCAATGCCGTTTATGCCTTGCCCTATTGCTTTGGCCAAGCCAAAACACTACATCGGAGAGTCATAAGCTTAGCCGCTTCGCAAGTGCATTCATCTTTGCAGTGAGCAGAAGTTAAAGCAAGTATATGAGCCACTCATCCAACCAAGCCCAATCGTACTTCTATCTCTTGCCACGAGGCCCACTGAAGAGGTCGCTGACGTCGCGGGCAACGATTCTGCGCATCTTGCCAATAAAAAAACATAAACATACCACTGCTTCTGGCTGCTGTCTTTTCATTTTGTTTGTTCCCTGCATCGCAAACCATATTCGCATCAGGTCAGACATGTCCATGGCCACTGCTGAGACAACGGGAGCAACCACCTGGGAATTCGAGTCTGTGGTTATGACGGCTTCGGAAGCACCAACTGATGAGTCGGAGCATCTTGGAGAAAACTGAATGTATTTACGCTTCTTGCTGTTATATTGTGACCCTGTCTTTTGCAAACCTTCACCGCCTCAGGCTTGACATTCCCATGGAGATTGGCGAGATGGTGCCCCTGACGCCAATGAGAGCAATCCCTGGCACACCGCCAGGGCCACCACCTCCAACCCCACCGGCTTCTTGCCCGGCACACCGCCGGGTCCGCCACCTCCGGGCGCGTTACCACTCACACCGCCAGAAGCGTGGTGGCCATACTCGCCGCCACGCACACCAGAAAGTGCATAAGAACTGAAGATGGAGTCTGCCGAGTGTCTCAGCTGCCTTTATTTGTCTTTCTCTTTTGCAATGTTTGGATTTCTTTCCAGTTGTCGTGATCTTCCGTCCAACGATGTGCGTACATAGTTCTTGTTCTACTCAGGTACCATGACGGGCATGCCTTCCGCTCGCGAGACTCGCTCCGACCCAGTGAACGTGGACACCGATCGTGCCAGCATGGGATGGACCAACTGGGATATTGATAAGAAGGCGAGTATCAAAGTCAAAAAGGAGCAGGTTGTTTTCCAGTCATTGCGTTCGGCTCCTCGTGGTGTCATTGAACTGGATACGCCGTCACCAGTTCACAAAAGGTCCAAGTCAGAATTTCTTTCTTCTGCCCCATCGTCTCCAAACGAAAACCCCACCAATGCGAAACTGGGCCTGTTGCACGCGGACGATAATGAGACCTTGGAGCAGGCATTGGAGAATGTGATGGACTATGAATACAATGGCTGGCGCCTGACGAAGAGTGATGATTCGGCTGTGCTCGCTTCATTGGTCTCCGTTCTGATGATTCATTGATGGGCATATGCTGCTCAATCTGACTAGCCACAGAGACCTTCAGGAAGCAGAAAAACCAAGCGCTTCCGTGATCGGACAATGCCACGTATACTCTTGTGATCGCTTCTTTCTGATTTTGCTCCTTTTCCAGCACCCAAGCGCGGAAAAGGTATGTCTGTCTTGAAGCGCCCAGCTGCGATGAAGACAGCCTCTTGGAAACAAGTCAAGTACACCGCGCATGGATCGCATCAAGTGGAAAAGGATGATCCCTGAGTTGCTCGGAGCTTCCGACCAGGAGATCGTCTGCTTGCTCCTTCAAGACAAATTGCTTTGCTCTTGGGACGGGCAGAAGCGCCCCCACTGTAGCAAGGGTTCGCTCTCCAAGCTTCACCAGACCAAAAATGGATTGCCGAGGTACCGTTGCAGTGCCAAGGCATGCCGTGTCTGCTTGAATCCGCATCACCTACATCCGGGTTCTGGCGCAACGTCGTTGCAGATGCAGTCTGCCTTGCTGCTCTTGCTTCTCAATCGTGTGCCTCACCCTGTCATTCACCGCTTGCTTGGTGCCAACCATAAAGCCATTGAGGACATGGCCAAGCGGCTGCGTGATTTGCGTATGAGGTGGGTGCAGAAAGAAGAGAAGAAGATCGATTTTGGAGCAGGCAAAAATTGGTCTGAGGTGTTATATATTATTTTTGGGGGTAGCAAACATACATATATATATGTATATATATAAACCTCACTTATATAACCCTTATATTGAAGTGATGCATCAGCACCCAGGTGTATCACGAGACTTGCAGGGTGGATTCAGGTATAGGATTGGTAGACCTAGCGCTAACGATCATAGAGAGTCTGAGGACTCAACGCGCTTGAACGGTATGTCAAGAGTCAAGAGTTTAATGAGGCCCTGGTTGGCTCAATGAGCTTGTCAATTCAACGACCTGATCGCTGTATATTGCTGTATCGTAGGACCTATGACTCATGCTCGACTGGTCCAAGAAGCGTTGTTCAATGAAAGGTCATGTTGTTGTCACTGGTAAGTGATTGATGCATGTGTTGTTGAACTTTCAGATTTCAGAGTAGCCTAATGTATGTTCCAAACTGGAAAAATAGACAATTGGGCCAAGGAGGTCCGGTAGGATATTTGATGCAAACCCAACTCATTGTTTGATGAGGTTGCGCATATGTCAGGACATATCAGGATGTTTGATTGGCTGGTTTAGTTTACGCAACTGACAACCAGTGGTATTTACGTCAAAGCACCGGGTCATGAAACTGAACAAATTGGTTTGGTGTCGTTTCAATAAATCCAAGTAGTTGGTGTCACTGAGTCCCCATGGCCAAGGTGTGGCAACAGCGCCCTCCACTGCCAAAGCCCTGACCATGAGCAGCTCGGCTAACAATCTGGAAGACTTATCTTTATCTACTATCATCACTCAGGTCACTTTAGATCACTTTAGGTGAGTTGGTCACTGAGTTGAGTTGAAATGTCTTGTTTTTGGAAGAAAAAACTGTATAACAGCGGACCCTCAGGACAAGTTCTTCGCTTCGCCGGGCGGCCGCTTCGTCTCACGGCACCAGGTGTCGAGGGGGGTCCTCGCCCTTTACCTTCTGTGGCGCAGGGCTTGGGCGACCCAGTTGAGCATGACAAAGGAATTTTATTCAAACAATACACGAAACATTCATATATATATATATATACGTATATATATATATATGTTTTTTTGCATCTTGTTATTTTGTTTGTTCTTATGTATGTTCTTATGTGTTTTATGTTGACCCGACCCGAGACCTTCCAGTGTTGAAGTTGTCTCTGGAATTTCCCACATCTTGGCCAAGGAATGCCGCGTTGAATCTACTTTTCGGAATGGTTCCAATATGTTCCAAATGGACACATTCGTGCGTCGGAAAGATCAGTGCAACACTCTTTAAGGTTGTCATCGGAGGATCGATACGTCCAGTATGGGTATCCTTCAATCGAAAAAGGGTTCTGCAATCAGAGTTTTTCGCTTTGGAGTCAGCCAGGTTCTTGGAGGGGTAACAACGAATGAAGAAGAACTTACAAGAACAAGCCAAAGCCTTCATGTTCAAGCTACATTCATGTCGATTCCCTGCAGGACCTACTGAAGACAAGGACCTTCCAGGACCTACCAGGACCAATGACCTTCAGAACCCGCAACTGGCGGTGTCCGCGCATCGGTGGACGGTGTCAGGTGGACCTTGCGGTTGAAGAGCCTCAACTTGCCTCCACTATGAGGTGGGCAAGCCGAACTGGAAGGAACTGGGTGATCAGTGTTTCATTTGAGCATTTGCTGATTCTGTTGCAACTGGCTTCTTAAAAAAGAAGTGACCCTGCTACCCGCAAGCCTGTTTTTCAAGCAGGTGGTGTAGCAATGTGTAGCACCCTACCAAGCCGTGCACAAAGTGCTAAACCGGATAGCAATTGGCAAGAGGCAGACTGTGAATTGCCACGTAGTTCCTGCTGAAGCAGATGATGTGCTGAAGCACCATCAAGTGTTCAGCAAAGCCTCACCCAGGGTGAAACACTAGAATTCTCCCTGGTCCAACTTGAATTGTCAATTTGTGTGACGAGGTCATCACACTTGCTTTGCATACTTCCGGAATAGACCACAATTTCCTACAGTTTCAAGAAGACCCATCCTCCGCACGATGATGTAGCCAGCATCAAACGACATAACCAGCATGAGTATCTACCTCGCTTCCAGGATGATGTCAGGATCAACCCGAAACACATTGATTCAATGACACTTGATGGGTTTACTGCCAACAATTCATTAGCAATTGTGTCTAGAGTTTTGAAGGGTTAATGAAAGAATGAAGTTATTAGGTTGGAGGCCATCGCAGGTTGGAGGCCATCGCTAGTAGTAGGTTGATGAAAGAATGAAGTTAGTTTCAACCTCCCCGCGAGCCTACTGAGTCACGACCGGCGTATCGCTCCAGGCGCTCCTCGTTGACCCAAAGTGGCCGACACCATTGTACATAGCGCTGCGAGTGACGCGCGCCATTATGGGCTGGACCGGAACAAATGCAGTGTAGGGCTTCCATGGCTTCCTGAAGTTAGCAGACACTGGGTCAAGCAAGATGAAAATTAGGAATGTCCAAATACATTCAATGGAAGATGGGCTGCCAGTGAACAGTGAGCACCGGGTATGTTGAGATTCATTTGCAACCTATGATTTTGAGGGATGTCTACTGTGATCCGTTTTCTTTTCCCTTCGCTTTGTCTTGCTCGTTTGGTGCTGACTCAGCAAGTATGAACTCGGGGCTTCTACGTGGAAAGCCAAGACCACGGTCGACCCACGAGGTTCAGGGAGATAAGGAACGTTGATTTTCAGCTAGCTGGTGGCAAGGAGGGACGGAAGTATCCAGGAACAGGGACGCTGATAGGAAAAAAGAGCATTGCTACTAGGAAAAAGGACACTACTAGGAACGAGGAGCTACAGGGAGTTGCCTAACCACTGGGTGGTTTGATTCGTCACGAGGAGTTTTTGACATGACACATGATCAACCTCGATCGACCTGAACACACAGACACAGACACTTCTTGGTTTGAGGACTCAAACCTAAGCCGGTTTTGAAAAGTCGCGGCGTTAGGTCCCATCCAGTAACAAGTGCCACGCTAGTAGTAACAAGTGCCTTACTAGTAGTAACAATGTTTGCTATTGGAATTAGAATTAAAAATAATTCGGATGAACAAATGACATCCACTCATAGGTGGTGGGATACTCTAGAGGATACAATGCCTATTTTTGTTCTTTTGTTGCGTGACCAGCCTGTCTGGGTACTTGGAGGCGGGACACCAGGAATTGACACGCAAATTAATGTAGAAACCCAGCGCCTGTAGATCTCAAATCTCCAGCTTGGCCCTTTCGATACAGAGAGAAAACACGTCCAACATGTGACGTAGCCCAAAGATTCGGATGCACTTCCATGCCTCGAAGCATCCCAGGCCCCGTAAGCAAACAGATGCCAGGGATGAGTAGCTCTGAAGTTATGACATCGGGAGGACATCAGCGCTTGTGTTTTCTGAAACCCAGTAAATCCGGCGAACAATTTGAGAAACAATTGCCAAGTGCAGAGACCCGTGGAGACGAGGACCTCTAACTCGGCCTGGCTCATGCGATGGACGCTCCGTCTGGCCAAAGCCACCTTTGTATCTGGGGTATTGGTGAGATGTGGAGACGAGGCCGACGAGGCCCTGAAACACCTGCTGTGTGGGCGTTCAGTGCAGCCGGAGATGTGCTGTGTCCCAAGAAGTGACGAGTTTGTCCTTTCCCACGAACGGTTTACCGTGAAAGAGACGCGCACAAGCGGAACCAAAAGAATCGCCTTTGCTAATGTTGACCAGGATTTCTTATCAAAGCACAAGCTAAAGCTCCAGGTCACATAAATTCTACTCGAGGCTTCAACTCCGTTGCCCCAGGCATTGGAAGACCGAGGGAGCCAAGGCGCGTGGGATCAAACATGTTGGGCTCCCAGTGTGGTTGGAGATCACATGTGAGAAGTCTCGATTCCCTGCCACTTGGTCCAGTGAAGCCACTTTTTTGCATTTTTTAAAGGCCGCTCTGCCCTCCAACCTAATAGTTATGGCCTCCAACATCCTCCAACCTACTAGTACTAGCAATGGCCTCCAACCTAAGAGCCATGGCCTCCAACCTAAGAGCGATGGCCTCCAATCTAGTGGATTATGAAGATCTCATGTGGGACACCTTCTTTGGCCGCACATGTAGACAGAGTTGGGATGGGTTTACTGAAATGATCCTGCTGGTATTAAGGGAAGCACCGTGAATTGTAAGTCTATACAACCACATCAAAGACAGAAGTTTGTGTGTCGTCCCTTAATGATGCAGTTTTTGTTCTTATAGCGTTGTTTTCTCCGCTGGGAGACGGTCCGACGGAAACGACAAGGAGTTTGTTTCCCTTCAATGGAATGGTTTGTTGGGTGGATTCCAGCCTTCGCTGGATTCGATCCCAAATAGCTTGATCCTGAACAGCTACGCAGCGCTTCTGCCAAGAAAACACTCCATGGATGATAAACCCAGGTGCCCAAAAGAAGCTGACGGCATCTGATGGCGCAGCCAAATGTCTTTCAGTGTTTGTTGCTTCACGTCCAGGCTGTCGTTGCACGGAGGAGCCCCCACAGCTTTGGTCCGAGAACACGGCGCGGGGAGCACTCGCCACACACGCCACACGCGATTCCAGAGTCAAGATAAGTATGGTTCAGGAGCTGAAAGGGCTTTGTGCTTGTTCATTTTTGTGGATCTTCGATGTTCTTTGCTTTTCCTGCTGGATGCTCCTTGTGTGGTGCACTGGTTTGGGTGAAGTGGAGAGGATCGATCGTCTAGCTGTGCTCTCGAAAATCGGTGACGCATGTTGAAGCCAAGACAAGTTCCAGCAAATGATTTGTTAACAGGGAATGAGCCGGCATACTTGTAGCTAGGGTCTGTCCCATTACCTGTAACAGTCAGTAAACAATTATCATCATTTTTGACCAAGGCCTCTACTAACCATCATCATCATCCACTGTTACAGGTAATAGGATAGACCCAACTTATAGCTATCATATACTATCATTATCTCTAACCTGAAACCACGTAACACAAAATGTTTGCAGTACCGGGATCCACCAGGCCTTGGAGGGATGCGCTGCCGAAGCATTGAGTGTGCAACGCACCGCTGGCGCAGCCGGTCGGGTGGCCTTCCAGTTGAAGCCAGGAGCGGGAGTGGTGTTGGTGGCCTCCAGCCTAGAAGCATTGGCCTCCAACCTAGAAGCATTGGCC